CTGCCACAGCGCCAGAGCTCAAGCAAGCACTTCCCTGGGGCTGGGGCATGGCATGGCATGGCACGGCGCTGTGCTACCCCAGCCCAGGCAGCAGCACCATGGGGCTGCAGGACGACTTACGTAGGAGTGCACCTGGGGCAGCCGCACCTGCGAAACCAGGCCCCCGCGGCGGTAGGGTGAGAAGTAGCTGGTGTCGCTGATCTCCAGCCTGAAGGCATCTGGGGACGAGAGGGGGATGGACGTCACAGTCTCCCCAACCCTGGGGTGGGGCAGCTGAGACCTCCTGGGCAGCTCACCCAGCACACGCACGGGGATGGGCTCTTGGCCATTCAGCTCTGTCATCCCCTCCACACCAGAAAACGTCACCAAGTCACCGTCACAGAAGAGGTGGCTGTGGCTGTCCTCTGCCCCCATGCATGTCACCACACCTGGGTTGCCCTGAGGAGGAGAAGAGACGTGGGGGCTGGGGACTGGACCCACGTGGCATAAAGCAGAGCCGGAGGAGGCAGTGGTGTTTTGGGGGAGCCCATTGAGGCTGCCCTCCTACCTGGGAGATGTGCTGCACGGTGGCACACACCGGGTCCCCTTCTGTTGGGTCATCAACGATGAAGTGCTCCCCGAAGTCACAGAACAGCTGCCTGGAGAGGACCAATGGGGTTTTGCCCGAGAAGCTGCCTCGCCAAGCTGCCCAAGCACTGCCAGGTCCTACCTGGGCCGAGCAGCCCTGCCAGTGGGATGGGGACATGGGCTGGGAGGCTCTGAGGACAAAGTGGCCCAGAGCCAACGATAGGATCCTGTGCCAGAGACCCCTTACCCTGCCAGCCCCTTGGTGTCGGCCACGATGAAGCAGATGCCCCGGGCATGGCAGAAGTCCCCGATGCGGAGCTGCTCCTCCAGCGAGGACTCGGTCAGCACCACCACCTGTGCCGGGGCTGTCAGTGGACACCACCATCCCAGGGGGCCCCGGGGCGCAGGGGTGCAGACTCACCTGGAAGGAGGCGAGGAAGGCCTCTGACAGCTCCCCGGTGTGAGCCGCCACCACCACACGGGGGTTCAGCTCGGCCAGGGCCCGCTGGGATGCCTCGGCACGGTTCTGGCCTACATCGCTCTCCCCCAGGAGGAACTGCAGGGTGGGCACATGGCGGGGCACCGCATGGGTTTGGGGTGCTGCTCACCACAGCGGGGTGCTCCACAGGGCCCTGTCCACACTGGTGGGGGGCCTTCTGCTGAGGACCATACCCATGACATGGACACCCCATGAGCCCTACCCCTGTGACAACGAAGGGCACCTTGGGTCATACCCATGACAGGGACCTCCCATTCCATACTCCTTACCAGAACTCCCAGCCTGTACCTGTTACCGGGAGCCCCCCATCCTGTACCCATAACTGCAACAGGGATCCCCCAGCTGCACCCACACCCATTACTGTGCCCACCACCCCTACCCAGTACTGGGATCCCCACCTGTACCTC